CAACACTAGAGATCTTTGCAAAATTACAATTAGCAGATATACTGCATGCCAGAATTAATAAACCCAGCTGTAACACAGCAACATAGGGTGTTAGTTCTCTCCTATATATCAAGAAAACATACTGTGATACGTTCATCTTTTAATGTCAAAAAGCATGCACAAAACTAAACACACCTACAAATGCACCAAGAGTAAAACTAAGGAACAGAAAAGGCTCCAATGCTAACATTAAGATTTAAATACCCCCTGCCATCCACAGGTCGATGAAAGGCTGGACGTACACTGTAGATGACTCCAGGTGTGACAGAAAGTCTTAACATTCAGCATAAAACAAAAAACCATGAACTAGTCTCAATCTGTTCCCTCTAGTAAAGGTTTTTGTGCACTGAATACCACACATTTCTTCTACGTTAATTCTGCCTGTGATAATACAAAACATCAGAATTTAAGTGATATAATGAGAAGTAGGATAGCACACAGTGATAAACTTTGGCAAGGAGATCTGAGCATTCAAATTAGAGCAACTAGCTGTAGATCTAGACCACGCTGAAGTTAGTATGTATATTCAAAAGGAAAAGGACGAAAATCAAAGAAGTAGCAAGAACAAAGACACCATTAGAACCTGGAAAGTCTTCTAAGAAACACGCTTAAAGAAGAACAAGAATTGTTAATGCAAATGATTGTTTTGTAATAATAATAATAATTTAGTAAAATGAATCTATCAACATAACGTAAAAGCTCATTAATCGACATGAAAGGGTATTAGCTCTTCATTTTCTGCTGGGATGGTTTGTGGGGTTTTGTTGTATTTTTTCCTCCTTTGGTTCTTTTTTTTAATGGAGAACAACTCGAGATCTCCAAAAACATGCATGTTGGCACTTGTGGGTATGAAATCACAGTGCTATTTCAGAAGCCAAGTTGATGTTCCTATTACCAATTTGGCCTAGACAGTGCAAGTTTGTTCATGTAAGATTAAAGGGATGAGGTCTCTATGGCATATTGCAGTATGGTCCTTGGAATAAGATTCTCATTTACTAAATAAATTACTGTATATTACTGTATAATGGTGTTCACATTACAACTGACAATTAGCGCCATTAAAGAGAAAGCTCATAAACAGCCAAAGCTCACATCAAATTAACACAGTCATGATTAAAATCACTCTTCTGATTTCTGCTCTTCACAGAAATAATCAGCATTTTGCATAAAAATGAGTACGAAGCAGCTCAAAAAAATCAGAGTTATGCTGGGATGGTGGTACTGAACTCCGCCAGCGCAGCACTGCCACGTCAGCGCTTCGCTTGCCTGTGAAATATTAAGCGCTGGGTTTCCCTCCTCGCAGGCAGCCCGCACGGCGTGCCTTGCCCACCGCAAGCTCTGCGCAGGCAGGGCTGGTAACCGCTGTGGTGACACTGGAGATTAAAGTGCTGCAATTACTTCTCTTGGCTCTAATGAGGGGAACCTGGGCTCTCTCCTGGCCTGAGGGAAGCTCATCATCTTTATTTTAATTTTGTCACTTCGCCATTTAAATGGTTTCTAGCATTTGCATGTTCATTTATTCTGCTTTGACTTCAGAAAGAAAAAGAGAAACCTGAGTAATTATAGTGGAGAAGAACAATAACAAAATACAAAGGAGTCAGCAATTCATTAAAATTTAGAGAATGCGTTGTTAAAAACTTTTCTTAACTTGAAGAAAAAAGGAGAGGGACTTTTTCTAAACTGGCACAGAGCCCACGGCCTCATTAGGATTTGCGCTCCACTTGCACAGCCGTACCCTAATGGTATTGCTTTCATCTTCAGCATCACAGCACTAGTTCTTGGCCTCACCCAGATGATGGTGCTAAAATGGCAAGAAGGAGGGGAAAAAGAAACTTCAGACCAATGCTGACCAGGCCGGGTATTAAACTGGAACCTGGCTGTGGATGAAATTTTGAAGCACATGGACATCTCTGTTCACGCATGCTACTTCAGAGACAGCCAAGCTCATAATGGCTTCATAAAGCTCAAGTATCACCAAGGAAAATCTAGTCAATAAATAAGCAATCAAGAGCACATAATAAAAGAATACCATTATATATGCCATGGTTTGAAAAGGAATCACAATATGCTACATATGCATAAAAGTACTGCAAGATAATACGCCTTTGATCCAACGTGCCTTTAACGCAGGAAACAAAAGGATGTTCTCATATATCTTACCAACTAATTTAACATATAAATCACAAAAAAATATGATCCAGATGGGCTTCAATGAAGGCAACCAATTAACGTAGACAGCCTTACCATCTGACACATTAGTTGTAATAATAAAAACCAAACAACATGGTCAAACAATAACGCTCTGTATTATATCTGACATTTCTAATTAGTTTCCGCATCCTCTTCAAGAAAAAAGACTACCAGCAAGCACTTTGTTTCCCAGAGGAAAAAACATCTAAACTTCATGTGCACAGAGCATAGTCTATGGATGAAGCTGATCTATCTGCGTTCCCTTGGGATGTGCTTTGGAACTAATGGGTTTTGCATAGTCCACATCTGGTTGCACAATTAAGACTCAAAAAATGCTTCCTGTCAGCTCCACGCCACTGTAACTGCTGCAGGCCTGGAATGCCAATACCTGCGCACTCCTTCAGAGCTTTACCTGTGTCCACAAGCTCAGAATAATCAGAATGATTCAGGCTTTGCTCTCTGTAGGATAGAATTTTGTTTTTTCCTTTCTACAGCCTTCCTAGAAATGCCACTTCTCAAACGAAGTACAGTATTTCTGGCACAGACCTCCCAGCATCAGGCAATTAGGGTTGCATCAGACAGTTGCAAGCTGAACTTCAATTAGCATTACAAATTAAAAGCTCCATCATGCATACATGTACAGTTACTGTTTGAGAGGCCTAATCCCAACTACGAGGACTGTTTTTGCACATATCAGCAAGAAGGACTCAGTTTCATCACCTTAGACCTACCGGACCCTTCAAAATCCACCCATGAAAAGTCCTTTTCAGCACATGATTGGAATGAGGAATTCTTGGGTAGGAGACAGCATCACAATGGGGAAAAGCTTGGCTTGGAAACTGCTCTTCCTTTTTCTGCTAATGCCACCATATCCAGGAAGGCCAGAGAACAGAGGTTCATGTCATTGCAATGAATATAAATCACATGGAAAACTACATTTTCATGATTAGTATTAACATTAAAACCCATATGATACAGCAATTTATTTTGCACAGCATTCATAAAAAAAGTGACCCAAATTCTGAAAGGCAGCCCCCTTTTATTTTTTAATTTTAAAGTAAAAAGAACCTTAATATTCCAACCAACTGAAAAGAAAATTAAGAATATTTAAACCAAAGGAAAATGATTTCTTAGGAATTTGCTCTTTTCCCCAAAGTAAAATAGCTCCCATTCATCAAGCCAGCATCAAATAGCCTTGGCATCATACAAAAGGGTTTGTGAAGTGGAAATACTATTTCTGACACAAACAAGAAGGCCCAGGCTCCTTTACCATCTCCACTCCCTGAAATTTCAGAAGAGGAGTTGACTGGGTCTGTAGACTTTCCAACTGCTCCTTCTGCCACCCAGAAATAGGTTTACAAATATCAGTATTGCCAGAGACAGACATGGGCAGCATGACAACGTTCGGACCTTTGCTGCGTGTGTTTGGGGCGGGCCCCTTGTGAGAAACCACAGCTACGTCAGGCCAGAGGCTGTTGGAAAAGCTCATTAAAAAGAGGATAAAAAAAATTATGCCCCACAGAACATCCAGTGTACAACTTCAGAATTGGGAAACAAAAAAATGGCTTCTAATTCTCATGTGACAGGGCAGTTGGAGCAGGCAAGTGAACGCTGGAGGTTTTGGTCATGCACTAAAGTCTGTTACAAACTCCCTTTGTGCTTTGGAAGTCCCTCCCAACCTTCTGAAAAATGTGACTTGGCTAAAGCCACATGTGACAAATTATGGCAAGCTGGGGGCTGAATCAAGTTCTTGCAAGACCCAGCTCCCAAGACAACCATTTCTGCCCGCACGTGAGTTTTCTGGGTGAGCACAACCTGCTCACGTCCACATGCCACGCTCTGAAAGCGCTTATCTGCTTACCGACAGGCAAAGGTAATCCCAGATAACATCTGTTTTATCTCACCATGCAAAACCTTGAATAGAGAGTGAAAAGTACCAACAAACTCTATTGACACAGAAAACTTTGCACTGACGACAGAGCGACCGAGGACTATCAGTCACAAGCCAAGATCCAACCGCACCAGGCTCCACGGCAGCCCACGGCACCGGGACCCTCCCTAACACCTAAAGGCACGTCCTTGTGGCCAGCTGCACACAGTCACCCAGCCCCGTGCTCTGGGCACGGCCGCGTTGCAGGGTGCTGTGCCCGAGCCGACACCTCGCTGCCGCTGCGGCACGGCGCTCTGCGAGGAGAGCTGGGTGGCTGTCAGCCCGCGGCTGGCCCGGGGCCAGCTGGCTCCTGCACGGGCAGAGCAAACGCAGGGCTCTTTGCACAGAGCTGGGTAGACGTCCCGTGAGTACAAGGCAAGGGGTTGCAGCTGAATGCAGGTAGGGAGGGAGCCGTACATGGGCAAGGAAGCCGTACCGATGACAGACAGCGGGCTCAGCGCGACGGCTCCCAAACCGCTGCTATTTGTTTGTAAGCATCATGGGAAAGAAAAGATTTGGAGGGCAGTGAGATCACTTTGCGAATATTTGCACCGAGATCCGCCCACACACAAAAAGCTTATGGGAGACACGAGAAAAGTGGCGGTTTGCAACTTAACCCATGGGACGTGAGCGCTGGCAACGCCAGCAAAGCAGAGCTCAGAGCTGACATTGCAAAAGCACGTAAGAGATGATAGATAGAGAGTTGCGAGGGCCGGAAGGGCCTTGAAAGTGATATGTTCACTGAAGGAAACACTGCCCTATTTCACAGTTGTCTCAAACTACAGCAATACATTCTGATTTTATTTTTTTCAAGAACATAAGTGCATGTCTTTCCACTCACCTCAACAGGGAACCTCTTGCCATTGATGCTGTGCTCAGAGCCAGCTGATCCGTTGCTTTGACCCCAGTGAAACTCCACTTTCTCTGCCTTGAATCTGCCCGGCAACCCGGCACCACTGACAAAATAATCGTCCTTCAGCAACAACTGCACACACAGAACAAGGAGAAAGACATTCTTAGCGCACTTTTTCTGAAGCATTTACAGTTTTTGCTCATTATATTAGAATACTTCTTCTAATGCAAGCAAAATGTCGGGTCATCATTTTCCTCTTTACAGGGATTGGTTTAAAAAAAAGTCCGCACGTAATGCTGGCTAATTATGGAAGTGATTATGAAGTTACATAGACTACAGCAAATCCCAAAGTCCAAGTTTCTCAAGGACTTTTTCCCCTTCTTATTGGGCTTTTATTAAAATTTAAATGGCAAACTCCATGAAAAACTGTTTAATGTGGTTCCAGAGAGTAATGGCTGACCAGCTTCCTTGGCCTTAGAAACCACTGAAGGTCTGCAGATCACAAGTTAAGAAAAGAATGAATCCTCTGTTTGCTGGATTTCCTCTATTCTGTTGGGGGCCGGAGGAGGGGAAAGCCCTGTGCCCTGTCCCACCTCTACTGCTGGACATGGCGGCTACTGTCCTTAGCCTCCTGGCTCCTCCTTTCTGTAAAATGGGGAGAGTGACAATAACGTTTTTGAGACCCACTCATGAGACATCCTCCATAAGAACTGAGTCTTATTACAGTAACTCTGACATTATTATGTGATTCAATAGGGGTCAAAAGGATCTTCTTTGTATATTCTTTTCACTTCCAAAAGCCTTTGTGTTTTATGTAAGAATAAAAGCTGTATGTCCAAATAGAGTGCAAAATCATACGGTGGAAGCTGGCACATGTTACAGGGGAGCTCCATGGCCCAATCAAGAACTCAGACCAACTTTCAAAAAATTCCTGTCTGCTGCTCTCACTACAAGATCACCTGTCTTTCTAGCATCTCTCATTTTTAATATGCATGATTCCTAAAAATTGCTCCCTACAAAATCCTTTCTTCTCATCCCTTACAAAACTGTTGCTTAAAAACAGAACTAAAATTAGAATTTTGTTCTTGTAAAAGCCATTGCAGACCACCGCTTGCTCTGCCCAGAATCCTATGATTAAAGTTTTTGATCTGGTTTTCTGTATTTTCTTTTAATTTAATGGGAATAGCATAACCCACAAGGATTTCTCTGTGTTCTCAAGCCAACTGTGTCATCACAACAAGAACATTAATATAAATCAAATTTTATTATGTAAGAGGGAGCATTTTATTCACTGCTGAAAACCCCCAAAAAAGCTAGTTGTGAACTAAAAGTTATTCCTCTGTTGCTGAATCAGTGGCAGTCTTCACTGCAGGCTAGGCTTTCTGCTGCACCAGGGCTGCCCTCCGTGGAGTATAGGCAGCTGGCTACAGCAGCCTCATCTCAGGTGCAACTGTACAATTTACACACATCTCAACTTTGAATTGTTTTATGTTAAAACCATCTAAATGTTAAATTGCAGGAGATGTTCAGATGTTTCTAAATTGCGCCAGCGACATCACAGGGCTATTTTCTTCCATGATTTCTGAAGTTCTTTTGGCACTCCCTTTGCATCAAAGTGTTTGTGTAGGAAGATGAGTGGTGCAGGACTGGCTGTAGGACACTGCCTGTGTCAGCCAGGGTACTACTGGTGGTCACTGACTTCTTACACCAAATCTGTGAAGTGACTGAAAGCACCACTGCTCTCTTGATCCCTTAAAAAATTCTCAATGAGCTCAGCAGTATTTTAAATACTGAATAATCTCACTCAATTGGTTATAAATTCTATAGATAAAATTGTAGGAGATGAGGAATACAGGAAAGCAGATTCATGTGCATCTGTTAAAAACCTCTGTGGGGCTTCAGTTGCATCTAATAAATATTTGATAGTTCCTAAATCATTTATGGCTCTGTCAGGGGTCATTTTACTTGTTTTAGATGAATAATTAAAAGGATAATTAAGAGGACGTACAATCTGAAATGTTCATCTAATTGTTCATTTTACAGTATTTCTTACACTGCTGAGCTGTACGACACATGCTCCCATCACCTTCCTATCTTAGCAGCATGCCCTTATTGCCAGCAATATGGGGGCTGCCCTCCCTTCCATGTGATCTCTAGTATTCAGGACAGGAATAACCAAGCATCACCTTACCGGGCTTTGGGTAAGGTGCTTTTATCCAGTCATTTCTGTAGAGTGCATAGCAAGGAATCAACCCTCAAACACCACTCACTTAAATTCCTATATAACTGAGATTACAAAACCAAAGGAGGAGGAGCACAGCCACCAGGACTGCAACTGTGTGATGCCATGTGCAGGATCAGGGCTGGAGCTCTCGTGACAGCAAAAATAAACCTGGATACAAAGCAGATCTTCCCCTGCCTTAGCAGAGCACCTCTGATGGTCAGGACTAGCTAGAGTGATGCACATCACACAGGAGAAGTACTTAACAGAAACACATCTCTAGAAGAAATTTTAGTAGGTTTCTCTAAGTGGAAGGAGTTTTTAGAAGTTCTCGTGACCAAAAAAGGGGTAAAATGGCAATGCCTGTGCGATGCTGGCGAGGGTACTGCTCCCACAGGCGCTCTTCCCACAGGGCAGGTCGGGCTTGAATAAGCCTTGTCAGCTTCAGGCCCGGCTGACACCAGCTATCACTTAATTATAAGATGGCACAAATTACAACTGCTAATGCAAATGCAACTACGAATGTGCTTATACTCCCCAAGTGATCTTTACCACTTGGGAACCAGCTACTGTGGTGATGAAATCGAACCCACATTAGTGCCTTTGCCAGTGTAATCAGGTACAACAGCATTTCTAGTCAAGACAGGGGCTTACTGAAGCCATTTCCATTTTCTGAATGAAACGCCGTTTTCTCTTGATTGTCTGCCCTTTACCTGGTATGGGGGACAGAACAAAAAAGAACACAACAAATCTAAGGAACAATAACCTCTTTTAACATTTCAGAGCATAAAAATAACTAATTGTTCTATCCTAAAAAAAATTGCTAGGTCCAACAGCAATAACAATAACCCAAGTAACACATTTCCTGCCAGTTAATGAGCATCAAGGTTAAGGGCCTTTGGCTTTCCCTCGGACCCCTGTCTATTTTAACCAGTCCTTAACTGCTGAGAAATGCCCTCTACATCCGTCACCATTGCTTAAACAGATACTTAGTTTACTGTCTCTGTCAGTCTGCAATGTGAAGGTCTCACGTGGCCATCTGCTCCAAGACTCTGCTGCCAAAATGCATCGCAATTTATGGCACAACGTACCTCTATGTTCTACCCACAAGCCAAAACATCCTACTTGGTTTGCTGCTTTACCACTTACCACCTTAAAAATTAATCCCAGGCGAGTTTCTTCAAAAGGTCAGAAAACCAAGAAAAGGAATGGGACTTGATAAAATGAGGGAGGAGTTAAGAGCTCAGCAGAAGAAATCAAGGATGACAGCAAGGCAAAAAGAGTCTTCACGTTACCAGTAAAAGGCCGTAAGTTACCAAGAAAAGTGACAGTTACTGTTGCTCTGCAAAGCAATAACTTGTCAGCAAAAATCCATACCCCAATGGGTGAGGAAATCAAATATAGCAGCGGTGCTAAAATTCACCCAGCAGAGAAGACTGAAGATACAGCTTTCACTGCCAACAGCGTGGAGACTGAAAAATTTGCTGGCACGTTTCGGTTCAACATGGTTTCCTATTATATGTGCACCAATATGTTCCTATTACACATACAGTATAGCATTAGCATCTTTCTTAGAAGAATAGTACCATCAGTTTTTTGTGGTATTTCTAATTACAGTTATTGCTGGTTACTACAAACACCCCTCTGTGACCAAAAGGGCAGGGTGCATAACGTGAATAATTAATTAAGCACCAAATTTCCATAGCATTCAAAATTGCCGTGAACCTCATGTTGCTACAAAGGGCAACAAAGTCAAGATTTCAAAGCAAACAGGAGCATTTCTTAGCGAAGCTGGAAAAAACCCTCAGTAATGCATCAAAACCCCAAGCTATGCTTGGTGGTGGTTTATGTTAACTGGATTTGCTTTGCAGTGAAAGAAAACAGGATCACAGCCTGTCACTCCATCTCATCTGAGGGGCAGTAACTCTCAACTCCTGCTAAGAACCTGAATTGCTGGAACTGGATCTGAAGCGCTTGCTGGACTCCAGGTTGCAGCTCAGATGCAAAGTCCCCTGGAAGCAATGGGTGTATCTGAGGTCGTGCTGCGTGCACAGCTGTGCTGCAAACTCCCGAGGCAGGTACACGCCCTGGGTTTTGCTGGCAGACCTCTCACTAGGGACACGTGACAAACCACTATAGAGATGCATGTCGAATGTTAATAAAGATAAAAATACACTTCCAATAAATAAAATTGAATTAATTAGTGGTTTAATCCAATTCCCTAAAAATATTTGACCTTGTCAAATGAAGAGGGTCGCCTTATAATTTCTGCTTTTTACATTTTTAGAATTAAAGAGTAATCAAATGCATGCGGCTTTGCATATAAATCAACCTTGACCTTTTGGTGAACTGTTTTGGTAAAAATAAGCAGTACTCTCACTGTTCTTTTCTCTAAAAGCCAGAACAGACAGAGCAGAAGAGGATTCATTTCAGTGAAGAACACAGTGCTATAATCATATCAGAAACACATTAATAAGCCCCCACTACTCTGAGCAGTTATTGCTCTTTCTTCTTTAAAACCTTCCAATTTCTAAGACTTCCCCCTTCCTTCCCCCTGAGCCTTGCATCTCAGCATTCTTTTGGATTAGATGTTACAGCCTCCCAAAGCTGATAATTCAAGGTTACACCTTGAAACTCTTATACAGCCTTTTATTCTGAGGAACAACTGACTACCAAGAGAATTATTTCATACTGAGAACCTAAAAAAAAAAATCCCTTAAAAAAAAAAAACCACCTTAAAATCAATCTGCAGAACTAGCTTTGCACAGAATACAGAGGCAGACACAGGTGGCTGCTGCTGGAAAATCATATTTAAAAAAAAGCAGCAAAACCCAAACAACAGAATAATGAAAAAGGAGGAGGGTAGAACATGGCTTGAATTTTTAATTGACTGTGGGCAAGCTATGGACACCAACAGAAAAGAACATACCTGTTTTTCCTGTGTTTTTCATCCAAGTCTTGTTTGAAGATTCATTGTCAAAACCATCAAGCTGCAGTTCTTGATACTCATCTCCAACATGGGCCTGATGGTCTACGATGTCGATGGGAGACTGGTGAGATCCTCCGCACTTCTCGCTGGAAGTAACCCAGTGCTCGGGACCGTAGGTACCTGCCAAAAAATACCAATGCCAATTATCATTCCAGTGGCTCAATAGTTCTGAATAACTCTTAAGTAAGAGGATGAAGCACTTAAGCTCCCCCAGGTAACTCCACCGCAGTTACACTTCTCGCATTTGAAAGAGGTTAAGACTTGTAAACTTAGGAGATTGAAATCCATTAGCTTTGCGCAGTACTCCAACTTTGCCTTTAGCAGGAACGAACAATGGCCTTTTTTTTTTAATTACTATTCTACAAAACTATCTGCAATTCTCAAGTTCCCCTTGTGCGTATGTTACCCATTAGCATGGCGTTACAGGAACTTTCCTAAAGCTTCAGCCTTAATATATTACTATATAGTTTACCTTTTCACATGAGACAAATAATGCAACAGCTACCCATTAACAGTAGTGTTTGTGCACTGCTCTGCTTAGGTAATATGATCTTTATTAATGATCTAATTTCTTTTGGAGGTTTTGGGCCAGAAAACATAAAAAGAAAGAATTAAGCTAAATGTGTATTAGTAAATCTAAAAAAAAAAAACAATAAAGGAAAAAAAAATAAATTACTCTGGATGGAGGAAATAAAGAGAGCAGTGACTTGTCAGGAAAATACTGTAACTTTCTTTTGCTGCTCTTACATGAGTTTTCTGTTTTCCATATTAGCATAGTCTGTTCTCACCTGATGTAAACTACTCTCTCAAATCAAGTCAAGTCAAATATTAGCAGTAAAAAAGAAGCTCCAAGGACCGACGATCAGTGTCTTGCATACGTAGCTGTACCTGGACACATCACAGCCACAGTATTATAGGACAGCTAGCCAAAAGCATATACAGAGCCAAATACTGTCACCTCTCCTACTCTCCATGCCCTTCTACTCTCTTTTTTTATTTAAAAAAATTGCAGGGAGTAATTTAAGTTCTGGAAAGCAACATAAACTTCTGTATTTTGTGAGCCCATCACTAGCTACCATTCAAAGTCAGTAACAGAAGAGTGTGCTACAGCTGCAAAGAGAAATGACACTAGCAGCCCCTGTCCCCAGCACGTCAGGGTCCTCATAGGCTCAGCATAACACTTTAAAGTATTTTTCAGTAGTTTAAGATACTCTCTGTTATCACAGCTGTCCACCTAGCTCACAGGTGCATCCTGCTCCTCTTCCGGAGCTTTCGCCAGCGCCAGATTACCTTTTGGTGTATTAACGAGTCATCAACCCCCAAATTGTTTAACTAAATTTCTCAACAGGATTGCACCAGCACTGCTGCTGGGAGAAAAGCATCAGTGTCTTATGGTGTGGCGGTGGAGCTGCAAGAGGCAGCATCACAAACCACCGCTAAATCTGTCAGAGGTTGTCTTCCACAGCCCTGCCCCTTCTGCAAGGTTCTCCAGCATGAACAGTTGATAAAAATAATATGTAAAAATAAAAGGTTTCAGGCGAAGACCTCATCATCTCCACCATATACCAGCTCTAGATGCACTATACACCAGGGACCCTCAGGAGCACACGCAGGAGGATCTCCAGTGAATTTCAAATATTTCTTATGACTTCCCTCTCCAATTCTTAAATTGTATTAACAGAGACTGAGAGATTCTCTTCCTATGAGTGCAAATGGTTTAAGCTCCTGAAATACCACCACGGTGTTCTTATAAAAGCACTTTTTGCTCACAGTTCTTGAAGTGCTTTACAGCAGGGATCAGCAACATTTTTCTCATGTAAAGACAGGGAAATTGGCAGCCTGAGAAGGGAAGCAATTTGCCCAAGCTCATCTACCAAAACCAAGTTACAACCCAGAGTTGAACTCTGCTCTCCTGAGACCGCTGATGTCACACCTGTACCGTACCTCTGAACTACACAGTCAGCAGGTCTGTTTGATAGGCAGACAGCAGTAAATGATGCACCAATATGCATTTATTACCCTTGCATCTGAGGAGCATATGTAAATTCAATTAGTGCCATCCAAACCCAGCAGTTGTGAAGGCCAGTTTCTTTGGCCCCTGGGTTTTAATCTGTCTAGTTGCAAATGCATTCTTCCTGTCTTCCCATGGGCTAATGCAGGACACTTAATCAATAGCAAGATTTTGCGCTATACTCATCGCACACAAATGCTGCATAGTAACTGAAACAACTAGAAAGTGTTTTACTTTCAACTGCAATTAGGCAAAATTGGGACATCCTTTGAAAATCATTTACATCATCTGCCCACATTAAAAATCAGTTTCGTTTACCTCATGGTTCAACTGGTATTGTCAGCAAAAGCCACTTCCAGTTAACTTCCCAATGTACCACAATCAAGCAGAACAGAATTATTAAAAACCCTACGTGGGGAAAACCAAACGTGTTCCACTCAAGCACAGATATTTTTCCCGAATCAGGATGCTCTTAGTAATTGGTTCGCAGTGAATTAATTGGCAATTCAGATTTACTTTTCATATAACCTTGCATTTACTCCATGAGTTTTGGGAATTTGCTTTAAAATGTTTAGTACTACACATAATCATCAAACCTGCCAGCTCTCGTTTTTTGGCTTTGTTATAAACATGGGGTGAGCTTTTCAAAAGCACTTTGCTCACAGAGGCTATCGCAGTGGTTTCAGCTGTGCATTTAAAAGGAGCTGTGCACTTAAATCTTTCTTTTTAAAGTATTTTGGTGTCAATGGGGAGGTTTCTTTTTTTTTGAGCGGGCAGATTTATTTTAACAGGGACTGTAGGGTTTCTTCCGTGCATCTTGTCACAAAGACTTTTTTTTTTTTTAAAGTATAGCCAGTTCTCAACCGATTTGCAGCGAAAACTGTCTTGTCAAAATGAATAAAATAAGCCATAAGGGTAAATAAACAAACCACCATGTTGAATTAAAACCTCAAGTGACTTAGGTACCTGGACTGATTCTCGCTGAAATGTAGTTTTTCACAGACCTTTAAAGACTTGTATAGCTTTGTATCATTTTAAAAACATTAATTAAGTCTGCTTTTTTAAAAATTAATTTAATCTGTTTGGATTAATTTAATGGCCATACATCTCTTTCTATAAATACAGTAGCTTTGCTTCTAAATCTATAAATTAAAAAAAAAAAAAAAGCCTAGCAGTATCTGCTCTCTTCATGTGATAGTATTAGTTTTCATGCATAAAATGTTTCCGTACTGGTGCTGAATTATTAAAGAAAAATCTAATGCAATAAAACTCTCTCAGCAATTCAAAACCCTAACTTAGTGCTGGTGCTGTGAGTCCAAGTCCTGACATCCCAAATGACAGTCATAAGGCTAATTTAGTCATAAGGCTGATTTAGAGGTTCAAGACCTGCTAGTTAAAATCAGCACAGGATTTTATAAACAGCTAGGTTTTCCATTAATTTCTTTCAGAAGTTTTTGATATGCAAATTATTACATGCAATATGACCTACACCATTATGGCAGCAACTCTAGACAGAAATAGAGGCCACAACCCCAACATTCCCAGCAGCGCAGGACTGGGGCCATCCCAGCTTTAACAATTAGCATGAAAAGGCAAAGGTGGGCTAGGGGGGCGAGAAGAAAATTTTTATTTTTGAGTTTGAGACCAAAGTAAATAAATTATATCCCCTACCCAGAAAAAAATAAGCTCAACAACCTATAAAATGTAATCAAGAATAGTGCAGTGGGATTCATTTATTCACCGGTAGCCATCAGAAGGTTTAGGCCTAACTGCCTGCTTTTTTCTGTGGACATTCAAGTGCAGTTTTAATTGAAACTGATCTTCCACTACAGATTTCAAATTAATTCTTCTTCCAAGTGTCTCAAGCTCCAGACATCCTTGCCTTGCAAAAAACCCTATATCATTAGAGGAGGAAATAGAACACTTTTTCTAAGCTTGCAGGTATTGATTACCTATTCCTTCCATCAAAGCACAATTGCCATTCTGCACTGTATAAATCTCTTCAGCGTTAGACACTTTATAAAGTACTGAGAATTATATCATTAATCATTTGCAGTTACACCTGTCTTGCTTTATTGAATTCTTTGTTTTTTAGAACTTTAAATAAATGCTTTTAAATAAAAACATGACACTAAATAAAGACTCTGTTTCACTTAAACCTAGTAAAAAAAAAAATCCCTTCATTCTGTGTGTGACATTTACTCATCTGAAACAGAGTAACTTACAGCTATGTTATTTCATTTTTCCAACAGTAAGCATCGTGGCTTTAATCAAATAAAATTTGGAATTAATTTGAATTGACCTTTTAAGGGCTGACAACTAATCTGGTTTTCAAAAACCCAAACAAGTTAAGAGCCCTCACTTGTGTTAATAAATTATAAACATTTCCACTGAGATGGTGGGACAACCTACAAGCAAAGGTAAACATCAGACAGCCCTATCCTGGAGCTGGAGCATTTGATGCAAGAGCAGCACAGGAACAGAACGGACTGATAACATTTGTCATCTTCAGATACCAAAATCAGTGTCTTGCCTCCAAGAAATCATGTGCTTGGGTCTAACAACTAAGTGCACACACTGGGGAAGGAGGGCTGCATTCACCTCCCATGTCAACCAAATGCATGGAAGCAAGCCGAGATGGTGACTGGAGAACGCCTAAGAGATGGGATGGGGCTGGGGGCTAAGGAACGCCATGAGGAACGGGAATTTGCCACAGTGACCCTGTGAACATCGCGGGAGGAAGCCACCCTCTCCCAGCTGCCACAGGGCGTTTTCTCACCCAGTCCCACCACGCAGAACTACATGGACACTTGCTCTGTTCCCCAGCTTGGGCTGGTAGGAAGGACAGAGCACCTCTCTACTGCAGCCCCAGTAAATCCAGCCCCACCGAAATCCTGCCCCGCATCCACCTGCACCTCAGCGAGCTGCAGAGCCCATCGATCTCCGGGGGTTGGTAACCCCATGAGCTCATTTTGGCTTGCAGCCTTATCTCCACTGCAAGCGGGGCAAAAGGGCCCCTGGCTTCCAAAGTGTGAAAGCAGAGCTGGGGTCAGGAACCTCAGCAACACGGCGGCTTCCTACATGAGATGTTTCAAAACACACAACACCA